TGTGTGTTTGTGTATACCTTGTGGATAAAATCTCTTCACGTCTCTTTTCCCTTTCTTCTGCAGTAACCCCCATTAAGTATCGAAGTAAACTGAAAGAAATGAAAGCCATTAGTATGGGGGTTTGAGGAAGGAAACAATTGACTCATCAGTCATCACTCATCATTATTAACTAATTGGGGTCCGTGACATAAACTTCATACGGAGTAGAAAAAAACTCTTGAAGAGCTTACGGATTGTAAAATGGAAAAATTCTTCCCAACATTAGGGATAAAGAAAGTTCTTACCTAGTATATCCTTTTGCATCAGGGAGCTGGTATGCATCAACATCACCAATTGTCCCAATAATTGCCTTTGTTAGGGCATCATCGTCCATTTCAAGTTCTTTGAGGAAATCACTTGTTCCATTATACACGTCAAGTGTTTTCATCAAATTTGGATCCCGGTAAGACAAAAACGAGAAAACACCTGAAGAAATAGATACCAGATACTCAAAGTGCAGTGATGAAGAAATCAAACAAAGGAATAATACTTGCAAAGGACGGGCAAGAAGAAGCAATGTAATACCAGAGTGGGTGTCAAAATCACAAAACCCTCCATAAGCTCCACCACTGACTCGTACACGATCCCATAGCCACGTATTGCTTATGTACTTCGAAATAACATATGCACTTCCCTTGAGTTCATAACCTGCTCCATATAGATTTGCTGCCTTCCCGACATAATTTACCTGGAAACAGAGGGTGTATATATCTATCATAATGATCAAAGGGAGCCTAGCACAGCACATCTGTGAAGCAATAAATAGATCAACTAACTTGAGTAGGCACAACTATAGCTTCATTTCCAGGAGAGAGTCGTCCATTCCATGTAGTAGGTTCTTGTAGAGAATTACTAGGAAGTGTATCTAGGAATGAGCTAACATGTTGATCAGCATTCATTAGAGTTTTCTGGTCAGCTGTGAGATTAACCAGGCACCCATCTTTTGAAAACAAGGATCTCCGTATCTCTTCAAGAGATGAAGAAATTTCAGGCCAATTGTTATCAACTTTCTCTTCAAGGCTTCTCAGAAATTCCAAGTAGCTGAAAGCATATTAAGTGATATTATTATCCCTTATAACTTATAATAAAGCTGATAACTAGTACACAACACAACAAGCACAACAATAAACCCAATATAAGCCCAAGCCTGTTGGGGTCTTGGGGGGTCAAGATATATGCAACCTTACCCTTGTAAAAGGAGAGGTTTTTGTGCTAAACCTTTGATGCATTGTGCTTTTACTCCCCAAAACTTCATATAAAATTATAAAGTAATAAGCAAGAGAAGAGAAGTTTAATGTGCCATTTTGATTTAGTTCATTATTTACTTTTGGCAATGGGCAGGCAATCACAACTGGCTTCATAGTTCAACATCATGAGGTGGGTACAAAAGCCAAGAAACTAAAACAATAACCATTCACCAAGTCATGGTTTAGGAACTAATAATAATCAGTCTGTTCAGGCTTTTTTAAACTGATGTTGTCTCGGACAGCAAAAATTAGAAGAATAAGTGGACAAGGAGCTATGGAATATCACGCAACCCAACTACAAACCCCTCATGCGCCAATTTTATTTGCAGGTTGTGTTGTAGACTTGTATAATATAATCAGCTAATTTTAGGTTGTGGTACCATTCCCAGCTAGCAAAATATCTTACGGTTAACAAACAACATCATATATCTAACCTGACACCGCCCATTTGTTCAGATAACCACCCTGCAGCATTAAGTTTTGCATCCATCCTAGCACCTGCAATGCTATGCCCACTGCCCCTTAGACGGTTCTGGAATGAAGAGGCAAAGAATTTAGATTCTACAAAACATCCAACATTGATGGCAGAATTTTTCTCCCAAGCATTATCAAATACCTCCATTCTAGCTTTGCTTTGAGAAACAAATTGCTTGAATCGTTTTTGGTCAGTGAGTTGGACATCTTGAATGATATTGTTGATCTGCAATAGCCAATTTGAAAATATCAAATATCAATGTTACTTGCATTCTGGTCCAGTTTAATACTCCCTTAGTCCCAAAGTGAAGATAATTTTGGGAGTTTGTGTCAAACTTTGACCATTAATTTCTCTTTAAGTAAACAGTCAAAAAATATATTTTTGCTATTTTTATATTTCTGGTGAAAAGTAGGTTTATAATATAAAAATTTTATGATTTTTGACAATGTATTTTAAGAGAAATTAGCATTCAAAGTTTGGCATGACTTTTCATAGAGGCTCAACATTGTGAGACGGGAAGGGTGTGGGGGAATAAAAGTATTTTCATTTTTTGACACAATAAAAGAACTGATGAGATATGACTTATGAGGGGCAAAGAGTACACTCAACTACAAAGTTTAAAACCTGAAATCACTTTATCAAAGAAAAATCAGCTAGTTTGAAAGAAAACTGCCAAGAGAAATCCATATACAACATATGATCAACCTCCAATGGTGAGAAGATAAAACCCTAGTCAAGTCAAAGGTTATCCACCCATGGTCCTATGATAATCAGTTTCACGATCGAGTAAGTTTGGTAATGTCAACAAATCATGTGATGAAAGTGTGTACAGAAGAAATACTAAAATGTTAGTTTGTCAACAGATAGTGGGAAAAGTTCAACTAGAATGCCTCAAAACTACCTACAAATAACCATAATAAATAATCACCTGCAATATGTTAATTTCCATGAACTTATAGTGTAAGCTTATTTTAGACAATTAATCAACACTAAATTTCACAATGCAAACCCAAACATAGTTGTTATTAAGGTGATGACGAATGTGATTAATCCCTCGTAATGTCATGTGAAACATGAACTTACCAAGTTGAATAAATCTTCAGTTTTTCCAGACATGGCCTTGCCTCGAACAATCATATGGGTACAAGGATCCATTGTGCCCCGTACTGATGATGTAAAAGGGTATACTGAAATCCCTCCAGTTTTCCTTCCGATCAACTGGCTCAGCTGAACAAAGTCCATGTTCTTTGTTCCCATCTCCAGCAGTGACTGGCTATTAAGCAAAATAAAGGTCATTAAACAAAAGTACTTTTTTCAAAGCATTTGAATCTTTCAGCAAGAATTAAACTCAATGTCCAAATCCAATACTCTTCGAAAATCACTTAGAAATTTACTACCCCAGAAAAAAATTCTTCCAAGTTCCAATCTAAACGTAGCTGCATTGCTATATGACTAATAATTTAATAATTTACTATAATTCAACATCAAAGTATTGGATTTCAATATAGTTACATACTACATACTTATTAACTTATACAACTATATCATAATACCCATTAAGAAAAACTCGACGAGGCCTGTCATAAAAAATACACCAGGATAACTGGAACATAAATAAATCATGACATTTGTGATCTTGCACTAATGAAAACAAAAGCCTTGCTTTAAAATGTACGGCGTATAATAAGATTTCAAATCAATGAAAAAATAAGCATTTACATCACATGGATTGTGAAGACACTATATATCTCACTGTGTAATAATGTAAAGCCTAAAAGACAAAGAAGAAATGATTACTTAAGTGGGCAACTCACCAGAAAAGTGGAAGCAACGGGACAAGCTCTGGCTTCAAAAGGTTCATATTGAAAACAACTTCAGCATAGAGAATGTCATTTGTAAAAAGGTCATGCCGCAATACTTTTATTCCATTGATATCACCCACCTGCAGTCACAACATTAATGAGCTTTGACTCAGAAGAATGTCAAGCACAGCATTGTATCCACTTATAACAAAAGAAAGTCAATTACCTCAATGGGAACATGTACAGGTTTTTTTGGAATATCTTGTAAAGAAAGACTTGGTATGGTTTTTAAGGCTTCTGGTGGGTCAGGTGTTTCTTGCTTCAGCCGCAGCTCATGTGTAGATCGTGCCAACTCAGCAAGATCCTCCGCTGTCATGCTTGATTTCACTTTATTCAAAATTTCTTTTTCAGTTGCTTCATCACTGGAAGCCTTCTCAGGATCAGGCTGTTATAAAAAAAAGCATGGATTTTAAGCACACACGTATATGTATATTGCAGTCTTGAAAAAGATATTACTCAGTAATTACCTGCATCTCAACTGTAACTCGATGTGGGTTAGTCAAAATATATTGTTCTATTAGAGGAGCAAAAACCGTTTTGGATCCTTCCTTTGCTATTCTGGCTTTCAGGTCCTCGAGAGGTTTCTTATATTTCAGAGGCTCAAATGGATCCATATCATAAACCCACTTCCCCTACAAGAGACATCACAAGATATGAACTCAATTGCACACAAAAAAAGGAAAGATAAAAGGGAAGAAAACACAGATTAAGAAATGAAAGTAATTTTCCCTTACAATGGAGCGTAGCATCAACGCTAGTCCACGAGGGAACGAGCCAGTGTTGTTCTCCCTAAGAGAGAACTCGATTGTATTCATTGACGCCTCCACAGCATCAGAATCAAATCCTTCTTTAGCCAAATCTTTTAGGGTGCTCATAACCAATTCTTCTACTTTCTGTATGTTTTCTTCAGAGACACCCTTCAAACCAATGCTAAATTGTGGCTGGAGAAGCTCATCTTCTACACCGCCTCCAACTATAGCATCGCCTAAACCACTTTCTAACAAGATTTTTCTCAACGGAGAAGCAGGAGTTCCCAACAGTAAGTGGTCCAAGAAATCCAGAGCAAGCTCAGTTTGCAAATCCAGGGGCTTCTCTGTAAGCAGCCAGTTAATGCAAACCATGTGCTTTTTCTTCAGATCATCACCCTCGCCAGCAGGATATTTCTCAACAATCCTGACTGGCTCAAAAAATAGTTTCTGTGGTTGAATTTTCGACTCTAGAGGTGCTAAACTAGCATCAAACATGTCCAAATATTCTGTACAATACGGTTAAGAAAATCAGATAAAAAATAAGAGAAAAAGTATGCAATACACTTGTAAACAGGCTAGATTTGTTTGTTTGTTAATGCTGTTAGCTTCTTTGTGTATTTGTGTTTTTTTGAGGACACTTTTTAGGACATATGAATAGAAAATTGAAAGACTAAAGACAAATTGATGATCACAACACAAGTGCTCAGATTTGTTAAGGGCTTGTTTATCATATAACCTTGAAACATGATTATTTCATTTTCCATGATCTTTGGCATATGGCTACATAGCATCTACATGTACTTCTAAAAAACATAAATTATGCCATTAAAAAAGAACAGTGTTTGGATCAGACACCGCAGATAAAATGCAAATAAAAAAAAGAAGTGCAGTGAATATAGATGCAACTTCAATTCTTCAAACATTACTTATGTTATATTCGGTGCTGATTTTCATTTTTTTAAAACTTTTAGACCTGACAAGAAAGCATTATAAGGATGACATGAAACATACTGCTTAGGATGCGCAAACGCTCAGTAGGATCGTCATCTCCGTAAAACCAAATTCTGGCATTGCTGGGATGGTAGTATTTGCGGTGGAATTCCTGCATAATTATATTTGGGGAAAAAGACCATGAAACTAGAATATTAGATACTAGAAATTTCACAACAATGCAGGCCTTTAAAGAGTTAAAAAGCAGCACAAAACTCTATGACTCGTAATAAAAGCTAAGAATGCCTAAGAAACAACAAGAAACCGTGACAACTATGTGATCAGGAGGGTACAAGTGTACAACGGTAAAAAATGGCAAAATGAACATGCCTCTCTTAAAACATATAAATGCATAGGATATGATAGTCCAAATTGCTCGCCCTAAAACAAAAACTATATTTGTGTTCCACAAAGAAGGATTGTACAAAATAGACACGTACCAAAACGCAGGTCTCAAATTAAGAATTTAAAATTTTAAAAAAAGGATTAAAAGTATAGTCTTAGGTTTATTGTCTTTCAAAACACCCTATAATTATTAAGAGAAGAGTAAGGTATACATAAATCTACTCTCTGCCAACCCCACTTTTGAACATTACTAGGTTGTTGTTATATCATCTTGATTTTATAGCAATAAAAATACTCCGTAGTATTTAGAAGTCTAAATAAATATATCAACAACATAGAATGTAAGAAGCAACAGAAGTTTAACATGGCATTTGATTCGGTGCATTATTTGCATGAAGTTAAAATATTGTAAAAAACGACGCTTTAAGCTTCATTAGCAAAGGACAGAATTAAAAATACATAGTTGAAAAAATAATATAAAATAAAATACAGAACTTACTAGTTCCTACATTTTGAAATTACAGGTGTACTAATCAATTATAACAAAATATAATTAAATTTGAATGGAAACAACAGAGTGCACACTGCGCACAGCGCACCTTAAATTCTCCAAAAGTCAGGTTAGGAATGACTTGTGGATCCCCGCCACTATCAACTCCGTATGTATTGTCCGGAAAAAGAGCCTGCAAGCGACATTAGTGAAAAAGCTTGATCATGCATTTTATTGTTCATTTAAGTAAATGCAATTCCTTGATTTCTGTAGCCTGCACTCTGTTTATGCAGCAAAACTAATTTTAATTGTTGAGGTCTTTATCTATGTTTAACTAGTAAGTTAATACCATAAGTCCACAACAGGATACTGACAAATTATTTAGGATTTTGTGTCAACAGAGAGCAATTTGTACGGACAAAGTTGTGGAAGCATTTGAGGGTACCGAATGTTGGTTTTGGTCTTAACAAGGGATCTATTACAAATACTCCCTCCGTCCTATAATGTTCTTCCCGGTTCTGTTTACAAAGTTTGACTGACTTTATTTCTAATTTAATTTATTTGATTGTAGGTGTAAAATTAAAAAATAAAATTTATATATTTAAAAACTACATCAAAAGTTCTACAAAATAAGTGGTGACAAGACTATATTATTTTATCAAATACCTAATGAAAATAGGTAAAGAAAGTGATTAAAGTTTGACCGTGTGAATAGTAAGTGGGAAGAACATTTCAGGACGGAGGGAGTATATAACAGAGGTTATATTGTGGTTGTTTAGTCACGTTTCAACGATACATTTGAAGGTGGAGAGGATTTTTGTAGAGAGGAAGAGAAGATGTATGTCAGGGAGAACATGGGTCGAGTAGCCAAAGTTCGACAGAGTAGCCATAAATCTCTCTGGGACGTGACCTCAGGCAAGTGTTATTGTAGATATTGTATTAGGGTTGTAGAGTCTTTGTATGGGTTGCATGCAATGAACATTGGGGGTTGAGCGTCTTAGACTCTTAGTCCACTGTTGTTTTGGGGTTGTAGGTTAGTTAGCGCGCTCTTGTTTTCTTTGTTTTGTTGCTTTCTGATATGCAGCAAAAGTAGCACCTTGTGTATGTGTAAAGTCACACTATGTTTTGTATACTATCAACTACTTTTCACTATTTGACGAGGGTTCTGTCAAAACAGTCTATCTACTCCTTGGGTAAGGGTAACATCTCCGTGCAACATATCCCTTAGTCAGTTAGTCCCTGCTTTTTACTGGAATTTATAGGCTTATTTTTGATTGGTTCAAAAAGCAATTTGTCCAGTGAGTAAAAATTAGGAACCCTTACTTGTTGGGACACCCTACCCAATATGTTATCAGGCTGTGAATATACCCCCTTCATCTCATTGAAAACAACTCCTGAAATTAAAATATGGACAATTTCTTATATTTTGAAAAAAAAAAACTATGCACTTGGCTATGCATGTATGTGTGTGAAAAAAAGACCTTTATAAGTGATGTCTTCAGAAGGATCATTCAGCTCATAGTGCCAGCCCTCTTGTTGAAAAGTTTGAAAGTCCACAACACATTTGGGGAAAAGAACAGCATCTAAATACACATCTACCAAGTTATAGAAATCCTGGAAAAATATCAGTATGCATTCATTAGACAAACAACAATACTTTGGGGGAATGCATTTCAGTAACAAAATTCCATGAGTTGCACCTTGGTATTTGTGGACGCAACAGGATAGCAAGTCCTATCAGGATAGGTGAATGCATTCAGAAAAGTGTGCAAGCTGCCCTTCAATAGTTCAACAAAGGGTTCTTTTAGGGGATACTTTCTTGAACCACACAATACACTATGTTCCAATATATGAGGAATTCCAGTTGAATCTTTCCTGCATAGCGCAGCATAGGCATTACCAACGGAAGCTTTAAATTGAAAGCAGTAACCAACTACTCCCTAACACTATATGTTTGGTTCAAGAAATTTCAAAGGGAAAAGACAAGGAAATGAAATGGAAAACCATTTTTCTTGTTTGGTTAGAGAGGAAAAAGAAAAGAAAAGTGGAAGCAAAAGAAAATGAGAAGGAAACATGTACTAAGAGGAGGGAAAACCAAATTCCTCCCATTTCGGAGAGGAAAATGAGTCCAAAATCCTTGAACCAAACATAGTGTAAAGGTTTTTAGGTATGAGCGGCATCAATGTCCCTTCATATTTTCTTCTTTATTTGGAAGCGTAATGTCACTTCCATATTTCCTGATTAGGAAGCTACACAATGCCAAAAGACTATGAAAAAACCGAATTGAACCTTATTATGCATTAGCAATGTAAATTGCTCATTGGTATTTCTATTGGTGAATATTTCTCAATTGAACAAGGAGGTCATTACAAAAGTATAGGAAGAATGGAGGATTTACTTACGGAGGAGTTCGGAAGACAATACCGAAGACTTTGTTCTCATCGTCATTTGAAACAGACATAATTTCCGTGCCTGTCTTCTTGTGCTTGTACAGAATAGCTCTTGATTTACACTCATCAATAAACTGCTCTCGCACTTTCTCAAATCCCAGCTTCTCAGAAACTTCATCGTCATAGCCAATAGCTTCTAAACATCACATGAAACAAAAATAATCCAAAATCACCAGATGAAGAATAAAATTAGGAACATAAATGTCAATAGAGAAACACGAAGTGCCTGGAGAGAGCTGCGGCGAGGAAGAGGCCGAGGCTCGGGCGGAGAGAGGAGAAAACTTCCTTCTGAATAGCAGAGAATGAGAGGAGGAGGAGGCGGGGGTAAGCCGGAAGTTGTTGGCGAAGATGGATGCGCAGCGACAGCGATGGAAGGTGTGGTGCAGGCGGTGGCGCTTGGCCGAGAGTGAGGTGAATCGAGCGGAGATTCCATGGTGAGAGCGAGCGAAGAATCGAGAACAGAGGAGCGGTGTAGAAGATGATATAGAGCGCAGCAGAACTGCTTTCTCCATGGTAGAAAGAGCAATGGTCGCAGAGGGGAAATGAGAGTGAGAGAGAGAGAGAGAACTATGCAGAGGGTTCGTTCATCGGTGTTTTGATATATTAACGGCGGTAACGGTGACTTGCTTGAGGATCTACTCAGGTTTAGAGTGTTATACTCCATATTTATCTATTTTGAATTTTTTAAAATCAAACATGATAAACATTGAGTTTTAATTGAACAAAAATTTAAACACATTTTAATATAAAAATAATTTTATTAAATAAATCTTTTAAGTGATTTTAAATTTTATTTTTTATACAGAGTACTAATATTTAATGTCAACTAAAAGTAATTGTAGCTCAAAGTTTATTCAGTTTGATTTGAAAAAATTAAACTGAACAGAAACATTAGGACTAAGATCGTCAAGGTTGTGGCTAACATAGTGAAAATGTGTCATTGTGTGATAACGAAATAAGTGTGTCAATTATTTTTTTAACAATATTTAACATTATAGTAATAAGTGTGATAAAATATCAAATTTATAGTCTAATAAATTAAAAATTACATACTTTAATAGCTAATCGGGATATTTTTGTGATAATTAAATTTATGATTTGAACCGAGAGGTTTGTGATAAATAGATTTAGTACTAGTTTTTTATAATCCATATTTAAACAGAATAGAACATCTATTGTCGCCCATTTCCCTTCAATCCAAACACATGGTAAAGGCTTATGGCATTTTTATGTATTTTAATATTAAAGCAAACATTGAAACACGTCACCTCATACTTATTAATTTTGAAAGATATATTTTAATCAATTTATAAGCACCTAAAAACACACGTTATGCTTCAGTAGCATGTGAGGAGGGTGTGGTAGTTAGATAACAAAGAAATGACCAATTGAACACCTTTTTATTATGCTCATTAAATTTTAGTATTAAAGTCACACTATTCAAATTAGGCATTTTTAAATTGGAGTACTCTATATTTTATCAATTGTATCTTTATCTTTTGCATCGGTTGCTAGTCGGTTTGAAAGGTAAAAAAACAACTGGTTCAAAAAATAATTATTGTAGTAGTGTGTTTCTTATAAATCCTCAAATCAAAAATTTATTACTAGATCCACCACGAAATAAGATTTCATACCTCTAGAAAAATTGTGATTAAGACGCTTAATAACAACCTCGCTTTCTAAATGACACTTCAAAATTGTATAAACTAGTCCCCTAATTGGCATCCATTGTGACTGTTAAAAATTTCTCTTTGATATTATCTCGACAAATTATAACATCACACTTTTTGAAATTTTAAATATCGTGAGCTTTGACACATTAAAGGTTAAAACTGAAATGTTCTTGAAATATATTAGATGAAATAGAAGTGAGTCTCTTACATTTTGTTTTCTTGGAATTTACTAAATACATTTTCCACATGATTTATTACCCTCACTCTTTCATAAAAAGGTTCCACGTTTTTTTTGTTCATCATTGAATAAAGTTTCACTTTCTAGTTCTATAAAGAAATTTATGATTTTTTTAACTTCTCTATTTTTTACAATCACATAATTTCATTTTTTCTCAGTGTTCATGGTAAGTTAAGGGCAATTTTTTTTAAACGAATAAACTATATTTCTAAGTGTTCTAATAAATAAACATATGACTTAAAAACTTCTCTGTTCTTTCTTACTTCATACAACAATCAAGAAAACAATCCACTCCCTACAATACAATGTCCTTATGTTTATGTTTTGTTAGAATAAAAATTTGTAAGTTTCAAATGAATACTCCAATAGGCACACAAGTTTTTTGTCTATAAGATAGCATACTTGACATCAATATTAATTTATAAACCACTTTAGTGTACACAAATCACCCCCTCTTATTCCAAACATTTTATTCCAAACATTATATGAGTACACATCACACAAAATGGCTTTTGGAAGATTTCAGGCGCGATTGAGGAACGCGACGACCCGATCCATGACGTGACCCGCTTTCTCACAATCCGGTTTCTGCAAATGGAAAACGTGTTCTTCCCCTTCCACATCCAGGAGCTCCAGATCTCCTCCCCATCCGCTCTTCTTCAGCGCCTCGCAGTACTTCACTCCTCCCTCTCTGATGAAATCCTTCTCCGACAGGATCACCATCACTCTCGAGCACGCCATCCCGGAAAGAATCCCCGGGGATGCCGCCAGGCAATGCTTCGGGTCGTCCACGCCCGACGATTCCGGGTATATGAACTCCAACAGCTTGTCGGGTTTCCCGTTTCCGAAATACGGGTGCGCCAAGACCATCCCCGCCGGCTTCAGGCAGTCTTCGCCGCTCGCTCTCGCCATCATGTTGTGCGCGATGTTCCCCCCTGCGCTGTCGCCGGCGAAGAAGACCCGGTCAAGATCCGCGTGGGATTTCAGCCACGGGTCGGATCCCTGCGCGACCCACTGGATTGCGGCCCAGCAATCGTCGTAGCAGGCGGGGAACCTATGCTCCGGAGCGAGCCTGTAATCGATCGAGACGCTGATGACGTTTGCTTTCGCCGTCAGGGAGTGGAGGTAATTGTCGTAGGTGGTGGAGGATGCGGACTCGACTGTGAAGGCGGGCGGCACCTTCATATGCTGCTGCCCCTTAGAGACCGGCAGCAGCAGCCAAGACCCTTCCATTTCCGCCTGGGTATGCAACAGGAGGCCGTGCTGGTGCCGCAGAGACCTAGCCTGCGGCCAAAGACCCATGTCGGAGGCGGGGACTGAGACGTAGGTATAGACTCTCTCGACGCGGCCGTCGTCGTAGATGCGGAAGAAGGGGTGGAAATCGTGAACGACTTTTGTTGAGGTCGTTGAAGCCATGGCTGAATGGAATGAAGGAGAGCGACGACGTGGTAGAAAAGATAAGTAGGCTGTGTGAGTCTGTAAAGTAGTTAGGAAAAACGAATCTTCAATGATGGTGCAAAAGTTTGACTCGTGTCCCATTTTCGGTCCACATATCTTTTTTAGTTGGGATATGGTAGGGCAAATGTGTATCCCAAATGTACATCACTTCTCTTTCTATCATTCATTTTATTTTGTTTTTATTTTTTATTGATTTTTTTTGTCTTTTTGTGGTGATGGAGGGGGTGGGGGATGTTTTGGGTACACTTTTGGTGTCCCCTAACATTTTCCTTTTTCGTTTGAGTTATATTTCTTTGATCCTAAAACATTCTTTTTCGAGTTGAGTTTACGAGGTTTGATTGAGTTTATTTTAAATTTAATTTATTAAATTATAGGTGTAAAACTTAAAAGTAAAAATTTATATATTTAAAGACTACATCAACATTTTTACAAAAGAAAAGGTGATAGAACTATGTTATTTTAACAAATAACTAACGAAAATAAGTAAGGAAAATGATTAAAGTTTGACCATATAAAGAAGAATAACTGAGAAGAATGTTTTAGTACGGAAGACGTATCATATTTGGATAACTTTGGGTTACGGTTAAAATTTATATGTTCAATGCTCCGTGTCACTAAATTTGGATCGATCTAACGAGTTATGACTTTTATTCATTCTTTAAAATTTTTAATAATTGTTAGTATGTCTTAGTGTGAATATTACAGAAAAAAACCAGATATGAATATTTTTTTGAAAAATAAAATAATTATACAATAACATTAAAATTTTGTATGCAAATATGAATTTTACACAAAAAAAATGAGTTGTAAGAAAAAGGAGTTCATATGATTTTGAAATATTCTTACTTTAACGGATTAGCTTCGGGTTAGGCTACCTTTGAATCATCTTTAGCGGGTCATTTCGGATTGGTCAACAAAACTTTTGTTCAGTATTTTCCCGTTGGGCTTCGAATAAAAAAATAGACTTGATCATTTTTTACCAGTTTAATTACAACATGTAAAATGAGACGGGCTTTCCCTCATTATTGTCTCAACAACATTATTATACTTTTTTTGAATCAATGCAAAACACCTATGATGTTATTGCCCTCTCGCCCCCATCTATCAATCTATTTTACATTATTCATCATTTTAAATAAGCTTATATAAAAAATAAAATAAAAATAATTAAAATAAAAATACGAAGAACAACAATCTTTATTGAAATAAAAAATAAAATACATATAATTAAAATAAAAATTAAAAAATATATTTCAATACATGAGTTGATTAGTATTGTTGTGTCTATAGGTTTCATCGACAAAACCATCTTAGAAGGTAGCATGATTGAATTATCAGATTAGAATTTTAAAAAAACACATTAGATCAGACAAACGAAACGCATCCTTAATTCTATAACATGAAATAAGAGACCAAATGATTAAAAGATAAAAACAACCTACTCAAAAAGTAATTTGTGTAGTAGTGTATATCTTATAAATCCTCAAATCAAAGATTTATTACTAAATCCACCACGACACAAGATATCATAGCTCTAGAAAAATGCAATGAAGATGCTTAATAGCAGCATCACTTTCTAAATGACATTTCAAAATTATACAAACTAGTCTCCTGATTGGCATCCATTGTGACTATTAAAAATTTCTCTCCTTGCTATTATTTCAACAAACTACAACATCACACTTTTTAAAATTTTAAATGTCGTGAGTTTTGATACATAAAATGTTAAAAATTGAAAAGTTCTTGAAACCTATTAGATGGAATAGAAGTGAGTTCTCATACACTTTTTTCTTGGAATTTACTAAATACATTTTCCACTTGATTTACTACTCTCACTGCTTCATTAAAAGGTTCCACGTTTTTTTGGTCATCCCAAAAAAAAGTTTCACTTTCTAGTTCTATAAGAAATTTGTGGTCTTTGTTAATTTCTCTCTTTTTTACATCATTTTCATTATTTTTCTCAATGTTCATTTAAGTTGAGGGCGAATTTTTTTTGAACGAATAATATATCTTTCTAATAAATAAACATGTAACTTAAAAATTTCTCTGTTGTTTCTTACTTCCCACAGGCCACAACAATTAAAGAAACAATCCTCTCCCCTACAATGCCCTTTAGAGATACAGTTATATATTTCGTTAGAATAAAAATTTTATAAATGTTGTGTAAAAAAGTGTTTCAAACGAATGTTCTCTCGCAAGATAGGCACACAAGTTTTTTTTGTCTATAAAAAAAGTGTACATGACATATGTTACTATCTCCGTCTCATTGTCTTTGTCCAGTTTTGACTTTTGAAATTTTTCATCAAAGCACTTTGACTCATCAAATTCTCTCAATGTGTAAGCCTAAAAATCGTCATGTGTGATTTTGTTTGATTCGTCTTAACATATAGATTATTAATATATAATTTTTATAATTTTTTAATATATAAATTATAAGATAAAATAGATTAAAGAAGTGTATTGGATTATGTGCCAAAAGGTAAGTGGACAAAAACAGTGGGAGTGAGAAACTAATTTACAAAACACTTTAGTGTACACAGTAGAGTGATCACCCCCTCTTACTCTTATTCAAACATTATATGAGTACACATCACACAAAATGGCTTTTGGAAGATTTCAGGCGCGATTGAGGAACGCGACGACCCGATCCATGACGAGGCCCGCTTTCTCACAATCCGGTTTCTGCAAATGGAAAACGTGTTCTTCCCCTTCCACATCCAGGAGCTCCAGATCTCCTCCCCACCCGCTCTTCTTCAGCGCCTCGTAGTACCTCAGTCCTCCCTCTCTGACGAAATCCTTCTCCGACAGGATCACCATCACCTTCGAGCACCCCATCCCGGAGAGAATCCCCGGAGATGACATCGGGTCACGCATCGGGTCGTCCACGCCCGACGATTCCGGGTATATGAACTCCCACAGCTTGTCGGGTTTCCCGTCTCCGAAATACGGGTGGTCCAAGACCATCCCCGCCGGCTTCAGGCAGTCTTCTCCGCTCGCTCTCGCCATCATGTTGTGCGCGATGTTACCCCCTGCGCTGTCGCCGGCGAAGAAGACCCGGTCAAGATCCGCGTGGGATTTCAGCCACGGGTCGGATCCCTGCGCGACCCACTGGATTGCGGCCCAGCAATCTTCGTAGCAGGCGGGGAGCCTATGCTCCGGAGCGAGCCTGTAATCGATCGAGACGCTGATGACGTTGGCTTTCGCCGTCAGGGAGTGGAGGTAATTGTCGTAGGTGGTGGAGGATGCGGACTCGACTGTGAAGGCGCCGCCGTGGAAGTATACGACGACGGGGAATCTCTGGCCGTCGTCGTCGGTTCTGGGAAGGTAAAGGCGGACCCATACGTTGTCCTCCGGCACGACCACGGCGTCTCTGGATCGGACGCCGGTTTCTGGGTTGTCGGAGGCGGGGACTGAGACGTAGGTATAGACTCTCTCGACGCGGCCGTCGTCGTAGATGCGGAAGA